TTATTAACTAGAAAAGCTACAATTTCTGGGGAAATTGTGTGAAGTGTTCTTGCCTCCACCAGTAGTCTACAACTGGAGTGGGCAGAGTAACTGGGTGGAGTGGCTTGAGTAACTGTTATGTGGTTGGAGTGGCTGGAGTAACTGTGAAAAGGTTAGACAGGGCAGAGTAACTTTATGGAGTAGGCAGAGTAACTGTATGGAGTGTTTGGAGTGAGTAAAGATAGTAAACATTACACTAACCAATTGATTGATCAAATTTAAAAAGTGTGCACATGGCAAGCTTGATAGAGTGAGAAATGCATTTCAACTTTTATTTTTCAGCTCACACTCTAGCTTTTGTCACTCTGCCTGAAGGCACAGTCACAGTTTAGAAACTGTCCCCTTTAAATTTGAGGTGTCTAGAGTGGAGTTTCAATGAATGTCAATGGGCAGCGTGAGTTGCAAACAAATGGTCATATTGTGAAAACTATCAGGACTATGTGGCTTAGCCGTGGACATTTTTAGTGGCAGCAGGGATAGCTGAATGTTTTGATATAAGATTTGTGTAGGTGGGCTTGAAAATGAGGGAGTGATGGCAGTTTAGAAATCATGTCCTGATTTTTCAGCTCACACTCTAGCTTTTGTCAGCTTCCACTCTAGTTTTGAACATTTCTCCATTCATTCCTATGTAACCAATTTCACCACAAAAACACCGATATTTTGTGAACCATTTGGCGAAACGTTCCACAAAGTAATAGCACACCAATCGGGAACAATCCGCACGTTTCCTTATATTACTGTCTATGTAGTGTAAAAACTGTGGGAGGAGTTAGGGTGGTAAATTTGGCTATAATAATAAGAATATATATGTGAGATAACAGTAAGTGGTCTTGCCATGCAAGAATAATAACTTAAAAATAATAATAAAAACAAACTAGAAAAGCTACAATTTCTGGGGAAATTGTGTGAAGTGTTCTTGCCTCCACCAGTAGTCTACAACTGTAGTGGGCGAAATAGCTTTTGTCACTCTGCTGCCTGCTCACACACCTGGGTTCCTATGGCAACTCACTCTACAGCAAGGGCAGAGGAGCGGTTAAAAACAAACTGCTCCAAATTGCTCACTTCACTGGCGGTTGCCATCTTCAAACGGTTGTAGTTTTAAAACTATAAATCCTAGTGAAGAGCTTGATATTGTGAGAATCACAAGACCCAGACCTACATTTTGATGCATAGTATGTCTCTGAAATATTAAAAATGAAGGCACAGTCGCAGTTTAGAAATTGCCCTTTAAATTTCAGGTGTCTAGAGTGGAGTTTCAATGAATGTCAATGGGCGGCGTGAGTTGCAAACAAATGGTCATATTGTGAAAACTATCAGGACTATGGCTCACACTCTAGCTTTTGTCAGCTTCCACTCTAGTTTTGAACATTTCTCCATTCATTCCTATGGACCAATTTCACCACAAAAACGCTGATATTTCGCGAACCATTTGGCGAAACGTTCCACAAAGTAAAAGCACACCAATCGGGAACAATCCGTGCGTTTCGGTATATTACTTGTCTATGTAGTGTAAAAACTGTGGGAGGAGTTAGGGTGGTAAATTTGGCTATAATAAGAATAAGAATATATGTGAGATAACAATAAGTGGTCTTGCCATGTAAGAACACCTAATAAAGAGAAAAATAGCTAGATCAGGGTTTGATCTAGGTCAGTGTCAGGGTTAGGGTCAAAAGTCAGGGTCAGTGTATTTTAGGTATGATTTTAAAAAAAAGCATTCTTTGATTTAGTACCAGCATCAATGTGTTTTAGGTAGGATAAAAAAAGCAAAACGTGTACTATTTTTGGGTCCTTTTATGGACACAGACAACAAATAACAAATCATGTGTAATCACTTGAATCGTCAATATTTTGGATTATTCTTTTATATATTTTTTCTGTTTTTGCCAGTATTCCTTTGATTAAAAAAAAACAAACAAAACTGAGACATACATTACATTTACCACCAATTGAAAGCCTGGTTTGTCCTGAAAACAACAATGTATATATTAGCTGGATACACTAAGGGCCAGTACACACTGACTTGTGCTAAAATGCATATACATTTCAATCATTTTTAGCTGCGTTTTAAAGCACGCTAACATTCACTAACATACATTTTGTAACATTTTGTATTTCAGTGCAATGCAATGCAATGTTATGGTGTGAATGGGACGCATTGGAAATTATTTTTTTTCAGATGTTCTTCTGTTGATCAGCATTTTACAGCTGCGCTAAAATGCACTGGTGTGAACTGGCCCTATGGCCGGGTACACACAGGCCGAATATTGCGCAAAATTAGTCGGTACAGTAGAAATTGGATGACTTTCAGCCCATGTGCACAGCTGCCTGTCCGACAGAGTAAGCTGGAGAACCAGCATCTGGCCGGCATCCAATCAGCGCTTGCAGCCTATCGCTGCGAGCACTGACCAGTGTGTCCCTGCGAGGGAGAGGTCCCCCTCTCAGAACACAACAGCTCATTGCTTGTGTTAGTACAGCAATTTGTCATTTTCTTTTTTAACAAAAAAAAACCTCAAACTTTTAGTGTGTACCAGGCTTTTGTAGCTGCAATAATATGTACAGATTAACTAATGCATGCCAAAGTTGCAGAACTGTGTTCAGGCATTATGATTTGTTTTTACCCTTCAACATGAATGGGTTAAAGAGTGCTTGAATTAATTTACAAGACAGGTAACCAGAAGCATTCTCTTCCCAGAGTAATAACAATGCACTAAGCTCTTTAAGATTATTCAGAAAATTGATGGATGCTTGTCTTCAAAGAGGTCCTAAGGATATTACTAAGATCATGTGACAATTTATTACATAACTAAGTGACATTAGAAAGAGTGCCTATTTAGGAAAATATGACAGCTCATGACAGCTGTTTTAATTCAAAATAATAGTGCAATTAAATGCATCTAGGTGACAGGTGCTTGATGCCAATATATATATATAAACCACATACATCAAATGGTATCAAAACAAGAATTCTATTTAATAAAACAAACTCAGTTTCAATTGCAATCCCATTATCTTTAAATAAACTCATATTTTACTGAATTGTACAACTTTAAACAAAAGTTGCTACTGTCAAAAAAAAAAAAAAAAAGTTTCAAAGAATTTGGCACATAACTGAACAATTTAACTGGTCAACCATACAAGATTTTCCATACATCAGGAACATTTACATTCATACAAACTGACATTTGCAGATATATCATCATTGCAAGCGCTGTACAGGGTCTACAAGCACATAACAGTTCAGAAAAAATACACATTACACCTATGAAGAAAGCATTATACTTACAGTATATGCTACGACTAAGTTTACAATGTTCTTAAAGATCTTTTGTAACATATAATTAAAATGTTAAAGTTGTCAAATGACGTATCAAATTACAGATGTATCTACAAGAAGATCTGTTTGATCATGTGCAAGAATTCTAAGGCAACAATTGTTGTTGAACAGGACACAGAGCTGAAGAAAAATGATTTTGTCATACATGTGCTTAGACTTCAGCACTAAGATACAGAAGGGCTTGTGAAACATTCATATTTCCACCTTGATTGGCTCGTTTATCTTTTCATCAATGTCACTTTGTGGCTTCTTAATGGATATAGCACCATTGTAGAAAGTTCTTCCAATAACAATTCATATATAAGCAGAATCATTTGTATTTGTAATCGTTAGGGTCAAACAGGCTCCTTTTAGCAAATACTACTTACTTCTGCATTTAATAGAATTTAAATGACAGTCTACTTTTTCTATTCACAAAGTAGCAGCCATTATACATATTGATTTTGTAAGGTGGAAAGAAAAAAACTGTTTTGCATTCGCAATTCAGCTGACTGTTCCTGTTTAATTAACTGTTTTTTTTTCCTTTGGAGAATAAGGAATCTGAGAAGTATGACAGATTTGCAAACCAGTAACAGTTCCCTGATTACATCTGGTGCAAAGGAACAGTGCATTACAACGCATGGCATAGTAGACCAGTAAATTGAAAACATCCTTTTCGGAATTGCATTTACATTATGAATGTAATGGAGAGGAGGGAAAATTTACATTCATATAAATGATGGTTACAACGATGGAACAAAACTGTTTCTTGGAAATAAAACAGGCGTCTGTGCAGAAAACAAAGAAGCTTTAGGTTCCCAGGTCCTAAGCATCATTGTTTTACTGGATAAATGGAGGAATCCTGACTTGGTTTCAGATCATCTTCTTAAACATCTTCTCATTTTGTATTCCGTATGCCATTTTATTTGCATGATAAGCAGCCTGTCAAGCACAAAAGTCTAATAAATTCTGTGAACACGTAAGTCTATGGCCTGCAGGACCTTTTTCATCTTGTTTTTTTCTTTCCAGGCAATAGTCAGAAGGTATAGCTGTCCTTGGGGTGACTTTCAGTGAGCGGTGCAGATTGATTTTGCAAGAAACATTGACAAATGTCAAGCGAAGTATGAAAGCGCTTACGGGGAAATTCACAAAAACTGACCTACAACGATTTCTACTGAGTATAAATTATTGTAATGACCTTTCTTTTACATATTGAAGTATTTATTTTGATGCTGTGGACTGTCAAAATGTAAAACAGCTCAACATTTTAGGTCAATGCCACCAGATTCAATGACCATTTTCCATTGCTATATTTAACACTTTGCTGGAAAATACAACAGAAAGAAATATTTCACATAATGTTTATTTGTGGTCATTTTGGTGTAAATTTCCTCCATAGCCTCCCTAGCAGCATGCAATACCCTGTGTTCAATGTCAGTAAAGGACATCAGCCTGCCTACTTGTCAATGTCTTTTAGGTGACGACATGGTCCAAACATGATCAGTGCAGTCTTTGCAATGATTCTTCCATTTCTATTTACGATATAAAACATTTGCACTAATAACGTTAGTAAAAAAAATATTTCCTTTCGCAAGTTCACGCAACATATCCTATTATCCCCATTCTTGGGTTACAGAGGACTCCTGTGTTATTTGGTGTGAAGGATATCTTGATACTTTACACTTTTGTATCGTATATGAAATCCCTTCTTGCTGATTGTATCATCAGTGTGAAAATGAATTAGTATCGCATCTCCAGTGGATATAATTTCTTCTGGAGGCTGAAATGAGAAATATATATAAACATTTAAAAAAAATATCCATAACCATATCTGCCTCAACTATAAAATGTTAAAGTTATTAAAATTAAATCTGAACACCAAACAAGCAGCTAAATACATACAATATATTGGAATGGTTTTACCCCCCCCCCCCCCATAGGTTTTCTGGTATCCCAGTGTAATGAACCAGGTATCTCTGACAGAAAGTATAAACAGGTCGCTTTCCATCAGTTTAGCAGCACAGCTTTGTCAAAGAACATATTCCCCCAGTCTGTTGACTTATAATACAATAAAGGTGGAACAGGACACTCATGAGTAATTGTACAAACAAATGCCAACCATCCCAACCTATACCTGGCCCTTGCAGCAAGGAGCACATGGAAGGCCGACGCATGACAAAAAACAACAAACGAATTACCAGCTCACTTACCAGCCAGCCTGCAACAAATCAAATTACCCTGTCTAACAGTTCACATTAAAACAAGGGTTTGAATTTGTACACATTTGCAAATGTATGCGTAAGCTGCAGAGGTCCCCCCCCCCCGCCAGTGTACTGCAGTCCTAACTATACATTTTGAGAGTCTTCAAAGTTGGAGCACATATACAATATGTCTGGAGTGAGCTCACCCCTCGTTAAAGGTATAAGGATGCACTGGACACCCAGCAATAGCACAAGGGCAGAGAAGGTATCCCATGTGTCCCCTCACCAATTCACCAAACTAAGCCCTTTGTTTTAACCGTGTTCGACAGGGTGATTCAGTTTGTTGTGCACTGGCTGGTAGTGAACCAGAAACTTTTTTTTTTTTTTTACGTGTTGTCCTTCCATGTGCTCTGTGTGCCATAGCTGCAAAGGTGAGTTATAGGTTGGGGTGGTTACCATTTGTTTGTACTGTTGGTGAATTGGTGAGGGGACACATTGGATACAATTGCTGCCATTGTGCTGTTGCTGGGTGTTTAGTGTGGACAGAGACATAAGAGGAGCTGCAAAAACATGTCATGAACCCCTCTTCTACATAAATAACAGTTATCATACAGTACTTTATCCACCTACTTTTTTCTGGCTAGTGTCTGGCCAGAGTATTGTCTCAGCAAGCACTTCAGCAAATAACTGTCTACATGGTTCTATATATTACTCTAGTCTAGCCCATTAATGCAAGGAACCATTCAATGTCATTACTGGCTTCAGATGTATCATTTAGAGGGAGTCCATCCCTCAAAATCTTGACATCATCCTGGTAACGTTATAAAGGGGCCTTGGCAATTAGTAAAAAGGAGTATGGAATAGGAGTAAATATCTAGCCATTTAATGGTTGACTAAAAGATACTCTTTGAAGCACCAGTGCAGGAGCATATACAGTATGACCACTGTATGCTAGTGCTAGTCCATTCAAAAGCTAATATGTAAAGAATAATATGTAAGATACAATGGACTGAAGGTTCTGAGTTTTGATCTACAGTCACCCAGATAAAAGGCCCTCAGAGATCTATAAAAATTAGAGAGAACATGGTTTTTCAAATGCAAAGTCTTTTATATAATTTTCCAGTGAATTTCAAAAAATTAGAACTAGAAGCCGATTGGTTGCTATATCAACAATAGAAACATATTCTCTCTGGACTCTTCCATGTGGCCACACTACATAGATCTTCAGTGCTAATAAGGGGAATTAATCAACAAGCCATCACTGTTAAGGATTTATTGTATTGCCAAAAGCAACAGAGAATACAAACCCGAATCAAGCATATAAAACATTATTGATTAGTGCTTGAGAGGTGGTGAGACAGCCATTTCCTTTATTTTGTACACTTTTCCTGACACTTATACTAATGAAATGCATGAGAAAATAGGGTTTTGCTCCAAATAAATGACAGATGAATCGCCGAATATGCTCTTACCCCTGATCCACAGTAACGACCCAGTCTCATTGCTGACGTGTCATGGCCATCGAACAGCTCCATGTAATCATAGCCACAGTCTGCTTCCTCCTCCACCTCAAATGTTGGAAAGCTTAGCTCAACACGAAGACCTCTTTCAGATACTAACAACCACTCACAATCTGTTTGGACAGGGTAGTTGTTGTCACCAAACTGGGCATGGGAGAACAGGTCTCTGGGCTTTGTTTCTGATTTCAGTCTGCCGCCACACTCTGATGAAAAGAAATAGATCCTACATGAATGTATTTTCAACTAGATAGAATTGACATAGTGATCACATCTTTAAGAACCATGCTATTTTTTTCACGATCCTTTAGTGAGGACCTTGGCTTGAAAGTCAAAAAACACTGGTTGTACTAAACTCTCAAAGAGAAGAATGTTTAGAACATATCTCTAATATAGGGCATCATGTTGAGGAACATTTTGGTGGGCAAGAACATGTTAAAGCCTAACTCCAGCTAAAAATCATTTTGGATTGTATAGAGAAGAGCTCAAATTTCAATCAGGTTTTTTTCCTGGCTTTGACCTCATTGGGAAGATTTTTCCTTAGGTCCTCTGCGGATTGTCACTTGCAAAGGGTAGTGCAGACAGCAAAAAAACACTTTGCAGCTCTAACCCTACCTGTGCCTTGTCTGTGTCCTTTTTGGAGAGATTTTCCCTTCCACTCCTGACAGGAATGAAGGGAAGTCTCCCCAAAAGAAACAGATGGCAAAAAAAAAACCCAATATAGGCTCTAACAGTCCCTGCTCTGTTTAAAACAACATTTTGGCTTTGAGTTTATAATGTAACGTACATAATCGCTGGCCAGATTTTTTTATTGTGATTTTTGGGACAGGAAGTTCCTTGAGTTCTTAAACTTGTGATGTGAAATGACTAATCCTTCTGTTGGTCCTAGTGATAGGATTAAAATTTCAAACCTCAACAGTTATTTAAAATTCACTTTAGTTTAAATAATTGGATAGAAAATTGGATAGCATATTCTATTTGCTGGGTGTATTCTGACTGTCACTTCTTTTGTGGTCACAGAGAGAATAATTTTTGACGTTAAGCTTTAAATAAAATGCACCATGGACATTGTATATGTAACATCTACAAGTAAATAAATAAAGTATACTTAGCTAGCAGAAGTGTACAAATACTTTGAGAGGTAAATAAATGACTCACCGTAGATCTATTAATAGGAGTTGGAGGATTCAAATAGACTGAAAAAGCTATTTACCCACTAGATGTCAGTGTAATGCAATTTTTGTGGCCACAATTACTAACCAGGCAAGGTGAATGTTACCAGAATGGCAGTGTTTATTGTCTGTTTTACTTAATAATGCTTACCCAGAGATTCCAATATTTATATCAGAATTGAAGTGCGGATACTAAAGAATTGCTTAAAATGTATCACTGGTTTACTGCTATTTTAAAGGCTGGTATTTTTTTGGCCATTTATTTTTTATTTGCTCTGAGGCATCAGAACCCCTTAAACAGATGGAGAAAATCAGCCTTTTGAACCCTTTTGGCATAACTCATATTGTAAGCTACTGCATGGAAATAATCACCTTAATAAATAACATTTATTACACCTCTAGCTCAGAAGCAGCTACTGTGGACAGGTCAAATCAAAGCTGCTGCCATTGGCAGTAGCATGGACATAGCGGAATATTGGGACTATACGATATGACCACTCTACAGTCAGCACACGACAGACATAAATAATTATTATCTTAGTGCGCTGCATTATAATATTAAAATAATCACACTCATACTTATTTTTAATTGATTGTTTAGCAGGTTTTTTTGTTAAAGAAAAAATGTGATAGCTGAAAAGAGTAATATATACTGTATATCCAGTGGCATTATAAGGGGGGGTTTGTGGTCTGCACCAGGTGCAGACTTGCTGGGGAGCTGTGGCTGCCTGCCATTCCTTTTTTTTTTTGTAGCGTTATGATGTACTGCTCATATGACAGAGTTGAAAAAAGGATTTCCCATCACTCTGAGCTACCACTGCATATAGTACTCTAGTGAGTTAGTTTAGGGAGGTGGGTGCCTGTACTGAGGGTTCTGCCCTGGGATGTGGGGGAGGGAAATGGGGGTTGTCTGTACTGAGGTGTCTGTACAGGTAGAGATGGGGGGAAGCTGTACTGAGGGGTCAGTCTGGGGGGGATTTAGTCATGTTAAGGGAGTCAGTCTGTATTGAGAGATTTGTGCTGGGGGAGGGTGTCTGTACTCAGAAATTTGTACTGGGGGGAGAACTCCACCTATACTGAGGGGTCTGTGTTGGGGGGGGGGGGGGGGGATCTTTCTGTGCTGAGTAGTCTATGCTAGGGGGATCAGTCTGTGTTGGGGGGAGCCTTTGCTGAGGGGTTTGTGTTCGTGGAGGGGGGTGCATCTGTACTGAGGGGTAAATGCTTGGAGGGTCAGTCTGTGCTTGACCATGTACACGATGCGGTGAATCTTCCCAGAATTATTATATTTATTCAGGGGCAGCAAACTAAATTAATTAATATTTCACTGACCTGTGGAATGAGTGGCTTGAAATCCTTTCCTTTGTACTGATGCATCAGACACAAAACGAAGAAACATCTTATTTCCTGTAGCAATTAAAGGCTCTGGAATTTTGTTACCACATAATCTTCCCAAGATGGATGACTTGTCCGTTTCACCATCAAAAACTTCTAGGTGGTCATATGCACATTCCTGATGCTGCTCAATCTCAAATTCACTGAATGCCTAGCGTGAAAGTAGATTACATAATATAAGATATAGCCTTATGTTTGTACAGCTGAGAGGCTTAATGAAATATCCTGTGTCACCATAAGCATAAAATTTGATCTGACAACGTATTCATGAATTGAGCTACAACACAAACTGCATAGTGCACAGGGTTTTCCTATGGATCAAATCTTAAAAAATGTTAACAAGCACGACCGGATTTAGTACATGCCAGATGGACATTTTTTTCAAGTGCTTCACTGCTTTGGGTGTTCTAGGTAGCCAGGCTAAAGGATTTAGGTTTAAATAAACAAAAACAATATTATATTTTTTTATCCAGTCCGCCAAGATGCATGTATTATTTTAACCAGCTAATTTACAATTTACTTACCTAAATGAATACTTAACTTTCAAAATTCTGTATAAATCAGTATTCTATCTCCACCTCAAATAGCTTAATTTTCTGACTATCGCTAGAAATTTCACATTTACTGTTAATCAGAATCGAAATGTGAGGAGCCCATAATGTTGGTGAATTACCCCCTTACATTGATAATATATAAATACCAATATAGTGCTGCGCTTATACTATTCTACACTAATAGGATCATGTTATTACCCAAGACATAAAAGAAAAATAGTAGCAATCAATCAAACTGAAATACATGCACATATATAAAATATCCTTTAAAAAATGTCCGTGTAATGAAGTCCCATATATCTTCCAGTGCTTCAAAGCTTAACATTTCTTCTTAATCACATTAGAGACATTCACCAACAAGTGAGCTTCTACTGCATTAAAATTGTGATTTCCCCCACTGGATGTGCTCCCACCTGAATACCTCTGATCTTTTTGAGGGAAGGGAATATGATGTCATGGCGCTCCAGGAGTAGGCGTGAGTAGTAACTATACCGTTCTGAATCCCGATATGCACGATTGTCTGCTCTGTTGTTTTTAAGCATGATATGTGTGGTGCGCTGTAAGCACCTTTTTAATGTGAGTTAATCTCCTATGGTTTGGGATAAATAAACTATGTGGGTATTTTCTGTCCTCCCCCTTATGTAATCTGGTTGTATTGAATAAGGGAAGAGGCACAGAACCTTAGCAGAATATGAAATAGAGGAGAAGAGAGATTGGAGTTTGTCTGGGAGCAATGCATCGGGTCCCTGCGGGACACAAAAAGCACTGGAAGATGTATGGGACTTCATTACACGGACATTTTTATTAAGAATATTTTATATATGTGCATGTATTTCACTTTGATTGATTGTTGGATTTATTTCTCTTTAATGTATTGGGTAATAACATTACGCTATTAGTGTAGAATTAGTAGTATGAGCGCACCACTATATTGATATTTACTTTAGCACATAAATTCATGGGATTGTGTTTGGTGCTAGCAGCAATTAATTAGATACAATTGCATAGCAGCTCACAAGGTTTTTCACATACATTGATAACATATAGTTTCTGATAATAAAAACATGGACAATTTATCTCAAAAACAGCTGCTCTCTGCACACTAGGCCTTGTATAACAAAGAGTGTGAATGAAAATTGTTTTTTTTCGCATGTAACAAGCAATAAGATTCTTCCTTATATTCTACTAGGGAAATATTTACTGTAATGGGCAACTTAAGCTGACCATAGACGATTCACACCATATATGAATGTATCCAAATTGATTGATCGATCAACTTGAGTACAACCAGGCTGCTGGATTTTACATGCGCTTATCACTAGCGACTGTTATAGCCACTAGCAATAATCCCTGTCTTTCCCAGCAGGGACGGCTTTTCCCATGTCCCCACTGAGAGAACACAATGGCTCGGTGGGAGGGATTCCCCCATCAACACTGACTGTGGTCCCAGGAAAGAAATTTGCACTGTCTATGGCCTACCTAACACTGTTCTTTCATTTGATAATTTGATAAGTAAGGATTATTGTTTCATTTCTTACTGTGTTAACTAAATGCAAGCGTTGACAACTGAATGCTAAATCCTTTTATAGCTCATTATTATATTGTATACCACATACTTTACCAATAGACAAAACACAGCATACGTCTGACACCATTATCCTCTAGTATATCTTACAGAAACGGCCTTATTAAGGAGGAACAAACCAAAATGGTTACATCTGAAGATCACCAAGAATTTCAGTCATGGTAAAAGAACTGATACTTTGAAGATCTGGTAAGCCATATATTTTTAGCAAAATGGATAGCCTGTAGCTCTCCCCTTAGATCACTCAATGGCTACCCATGCATGTAAGATTGTCTGTGAATTTTTTTTTTGCTGACACTTACAACAGACGTTCAGCAGAGCCATTAGCCACAGCAGAGATTGTGAACTGGTTGGTTACCTAAACCTTTGCAGGCCCAACATGGAAGCTAGAACTTTGATGATGAGTCTGACAGAGACATGTTGTCTTGAAGGTGGGGGGGGGGGGGGGCCATTCAACACTGTTCCACCAAGAGAAACACTCTTCCCATAAGTCTATGATAACAGTCTCCAATCAGTCTAAAACTTTATACTGTGTGTGTATGTACATTGTACCCACATCATTTCCATCACCTTCATCCCATGTCCAGAATGGTACCGAATGTTGAGAAATTAAAAATTAGCCTTAGACAGCAACCCTATCAAAAAACTTTAAAATTCTGCTTTGATGAAATGTGTGATTTGTGACCAATTGACATGAATATGGCCGAGCAAATTTTGATTGGTACATAGATTTGTTATGCCTAGAATTTCTTAGGTAGATACTTGATCATGTGCGTGAATGATAAAATTCAAGCAGGGGTCGAGTCCTTTTTGTATCTATCATCTTAGGTGATTTTCAGTGAGATATCTCACCTTGTGTTCCAGCAATAACTCTGCTGTTTGTTCTGCTGTGCAAAACTAGAAGACCACATTACAGGTATTTATTAAAAGAAAAAAAGGAACAGAGAAAGAAAGGCAGCTTTGTAATCAATTTTACTGTGTCATGCCTTTTACCACAATTTTATATTTTCACAGTAGTATTCCTAGCCTTAAATAAGGTGAACACATACAAGTACTTACTAGCTTAACTCTATGACCTGGAGTGGCACTTATTTCCCAAGTACATTCCTTACGACTTGGATACTTGTCTGGCCAGTTGGGGCTTGTTATAAATCCATTCGGACTATGAATTCTATGTTCACATTCAGCTGTGTAAGATAAGAAATGATTTAATTTACAGTAAATTTCAATTCACAGAAAAGTTAGTCAAGATATTAGGCAGGGGAGATGTATATTATTAAAATGTTAATGAAGGTGTACACAATATTTTAATCACAGTAAAGGCATTGGTATGTCTATACTATCCAAACAGCCTGTAAATCATATTTTTGGTTCACTTATATTGTAAGTGGCTTGTCTTTTATTGCTCAGATGCTATATAAACTTTTTATGCTTAAAGATGAATTCCAGGTATGGTATATTTTTACATACTGTGGTTACATTGGTCCAGTTTGGGCCAATATGAGCATGTATATACCATACCTGGCCAATGCCCCTGAAAAGCTGGAAATCACGGACGTAGACACTGCTTCCCCGAGGATCTCCACTAGCTTTTGAGTCCTGTGCTGAGCACCAGGCCTGATACATTGTGAACACAGGAGTTTCGTCACTGCATGGGTGCCATTCTCGTGAATGCTTTTTATTTTCGGAATAAATGCAAAGCATTCTCTGATTGGACAAGGGGGAGAGTGTCAAGGTCCTACCTTTTCCCAGAGGTTATGTTACTCCATGTGCTGGCATCCATCTTGGATTTCTGCTGAGCATGATGGGAATCTTTTATGCCTTCAGGTCTCTGAGGTCCATCCCCCAGAGGGGTGTGGCTGAGTACATATAAGCCTGGGATCTGCACATGCTCTTTGCACTTGTGTCTTGGTCTTGCTACAGCTCTGTGTATACGCTCGTGACTCTTCTGGTATTCTGACTCAGCTTGTGACTAAGACCATTCTCTGTGTTTCCCTTTGATCTGACCTTCCGTTGCTGAACCCGGCCCGTGACCTGTGATTCTCTGTCTACTGTTCTGTACTGTTTTGTCCCGTTGTTGTTGACCCGGCTTGTCTGACTACGCTATTGTCATTCTCACCAGCTACACGCCTTTGGCGGCGGCCATTACCGCAGCCGGGGTGTCTCGGGGGCCGCGACCTGGTTCCTAGCTGCGTCAAGTCCATCCCCACCATCAGGGGCCCTGGTGAAGGGCAGCCTGGGACTTAGACTCCGCGCCCTGAGGGACTTCGGTCTGTTGGTGGTGGTTGTCGTCAGCCAGTGCATTACCCTGCCACTAGGCCTACCTGTCCGTTCCACAGCCCTGCCCTGACAGAGAGTGTGACATCACCACCCCGCCTCATCACCTTGACCAATCAGAGATGTCTTTGCATTTATCCAGAAAATGCAACGCATTCTCTGAATGGTATCTGTGCTGAGTGGTCCACCTCCTGTATTCAGAATGCATCAGGCTGGCATCTCAGTACTCAGCACAATACCTGGAATTACCTTGAGTAGTGATGTCTACTTCAGAGATTTCCAGCTTCCAGGTGTAGTATATGCATAGCTATACTATGTAAAATATACCATGCCTGGAATTCTTTAAATGTTCAAGCTCACTTGTATTTTGTAGAACAGTTCTGGTTGATGGTGTAGCACAATATTTCCCAAATTTAAATATTTACTACTTTGTCATTTCCAGGTGCCACTTGTAAACCTGCTGTTCAGATATTTGGGCCAGGGTCTTGGCTCTTTGCAAGGGAATTTTCCCCAGAGCTTAGTAAATAAATTGAAGCTCTGCTGACTTCCTTAATCCCATTATGTCCAAGCAAAGATGTTTTTTTAATTGCATGTGATTGGGTGTTCTTTTCAAAGCAAAGTCTCACCACATTTAGTAAGGTCCAGGGAAAATGTCCTTGCTAAATGCAACTTCTCTTGCATAGTGAACAATTTGTTTGCCTTTAGTAAACAAACACCATATTCCCCAGAGTACTCTGGGTTTTATAAAAAGAGTACAGCAGTGTTTCTTGCCTTTCAGGCAGGATATCTGTAACTAAAACTTTGCACAGAGCTGTCAGAGAGGACACAGAGAGAACAGAATACAATATTGTGTAAATTACCTCTTGAGTGTTTAAGCTTTACAACAACAGGTTTTTACCAACAGAAGGTGTAAACTAAAAAACATGGTATAAAGAGCTTTGAGCTCCACCTGCTGGCTGCATATAAATATACAAGATAATAATTTGTAATATTTAATATCTATCCAATTAAACAATGCATATATATATATATATATATATATATATATATATATATATATATTTATCAAATTCAGCCATAATCAGAGTACTTTAATTTGCCAGGCAGAAGAAGGGACATATTTAAACACATTGTAGACCAGAAGTGTCCAGAACCTCATCTAGGTGCTACTCTCTGCCATGTACCATCAGGATGAAAATGTGTACCATCAGTGATCAATGGATCAAAATTTGTAAAAAAAAGAAAAAAAAAAAAAAACATTGCGAGGAAAACACTGGTGTATTTTATTCCCTTTGCTGCACTATAGTTAAATAGAAGCTGTTTATTTTCATTTTAAAATGCTAATCCAAATATTTTTAACTCCAGAGCAATCTGTAGATACCTACTATGCTATTCACTGACTTTTAGCAAATTAATTGCTTTGCTTACAGCACTCTAATGTAAAGAAAACGTTTAGTTCTCTTTACTGGTGTACACAATTTAGCATTGCAATGGTTTCCTTGGGACTCCTACCTTCTTTACAATCATGCTTGTTCTCATGGAGTACAAATCCATTGCGGCACTGGCAAACATAGCTGCCAATTGTGTTGATGCATTCATGTTGGCAACCTCCATTTTCTTTTGAACATTCATCTTTGTCTGTTTGTGAGAAAAAAGTGTTGTTACCCCTTTGAAAAACAGCACATTATGTGGCACCAAAATTACCAAAATTACTGGTAAATCAAGCAAAGCATATCATGCAAAACCATGTTAGCCTGTAACCTTGTACACATATGACTCTGCAGGTAACATAAATATTTGTTTATTATCATGAATTAATTTGTTCCATTTTAATGCATTTTCAAAAATGATCAGATTTTAATATATATTTATTTAGAAAACTGAAGCTAAACTTAAACGCTGTTGATGTTTCTACAGATTAGGAAAATACAAGGTTGCAGGTAACATGTTTTTTTATTTAAAGATTAGCATAGTTGTACAGCCCTGAAGAACAATATAATAAATCCTACTAAATCAGTTTATACATTCGGGATCAATTCATAAATTTAAAAGTTATTAATATGTAAAAAGGAGATGGCTATAGACCAGTTTACTAGGAAAATTAATTAATATTAAATATGCATACTGCCACCATTAGATCTAAAGTAAAGATGAGAAGATGGAGAGCAATTTTCAGAAGGTCAACAGTGTTTTTGCATAAAGAAGGATTCTTAACAGCAGCCATTCCAGAGAGAGGCATCCACTAAAATAGGAATGTGTCAGATGTCATTATCCAGCAGACCTGGTCAGAGCTTCAGATCTGAACTGACAGATTGGTCTTGACATATACAGAAAAAGCTATGTCATGGCAATGCATAATGCAAATGAATAGCAATTAATTAGAGACGACACAAGGCAATGCTTAAAAGTTTTATCTTGTGTGTCATCCTTTTAAGGGCTTATTAGTCATCATTGTTCCTGAAGGGAGTTGTCATTTAATATGTTCAAAATTAAGTTTTTTAAAAAACGTTTTTATATGTTTTTCACAGTTAAAAAGACGTTTCATCTTTTATTCTTCCTCTATTTTTTTATTACAATTTCACAGGCATTAAGGTGGCATTAATGCTTTGCAAGTTCAAATAGCTCTGAAAAAAACAAGTTCCTTACCACCTTAACCTTTTCTAGTAGATACACAGATAAACATAGGTAGATACATAAAATATTGAGCAGAAAGCTTAAGGCCTCATGCACAGCAGCATTTTGGCAAAAAAATGCCTGACGCTTATAAAGATATCTAACGCTTTTACAAGTGTTTAGGTGTGTTTAGAAGCATCAGGCACTTGGGCATTAATTCATTTCAATGGCCAGAATAAATAATTATTAATAATAAATTATTATTATTATTATTATTATTATTAATAATAAAATAATTTATTCTGGCCATTGAAATGAACGAACACTCAAGCGCTAAACGCACTTAGGCTTGTTTTGCCACGTTTACACGCATCAAGTGTTTTTTTCTGCCAAAACGCTGATGCTCCTCCACGCACCGGCCCTGGGTTTTTTTTCTCCTGTTGGTAAACACTACAGCTAATAAAAGCTTCTAAAAGTCTACATAGGATAACATGGAGAGCTGTTTAGAAGCAGTAAAAAAAAGCCTGACACCCCTAAAAGTGGCCCCAAAAATGCCCTGTGTGCATGAGGCCTAAATGTACAGTTGTTGCTATTGTTAGGAGTTTAATTGCTCCCCAGCACCTGCACAGACTCCTCACTCCTGGCAGTAAGCTCCATAGAAGGACCACTGCTCATGTTCAGAAGTACAGCTCTGCAATCAGGCAATCAGCAGGGCCCATGGGCTTTGTGGCTTTGATAGATCTAAACAGACAGGCAGCATTTCAGACTGCTGCAGAGAGACCATTGCTTCCACAAGTTTTTGTTTTCAAAAACGTTAGTGAGGCTTTATTAACACAGCCCATGGCTTATTATTAAAAAGGTACACTTGATCAAACTTGATAGTTCTCAATAATGACATGTAATGTCAGTTGGGCATAGTTTTGTGGTTTTGTTTACACATTTTAACAATATTGTCATTGGCATGACATAAAAATCAATTCTATCTATAATGTACAGTATGCCCTTGACCATGAGACTTAAGTTTTTTGCCCATTGACTTTTCCTAACTGCCATGTACTTATACCAGCCAGGGTTAATGGACACATTTAAGAATATGAAGAACATGTACTTAAACTGACAAAAATAGAAAAAAAAATTAAAAAAAGGTGGTGTGTCCATATATATTTTGGGATTCACTGAACCACTGCCTATGCTGTCTTGTTCTAATTAAATATTTACTAATAAACTATCAAAAAGCATTTAAGGGATCCGCCTAAATAAAGCTACATTTGCATTAACAATGGCATTTGACTTAACCTTGCACTGTTTCAGATACCTCAAATTTAGCTCTGTTATAATGTAATTACATGGTAATAACATTACTGATTATGAAATAAATGTAAAAAAGAATATCCAGCAAAGGAAAGAAATAGGATATAGAACACTCCATAGGTATTTCTGAAATTCCTAAGATTTCTATTTTACCATGTACTAAAACAAAGGGAACACAGTAAACACTAAGAGCTCAACCTATTGATTCAGAAGGCCAGTATTTTAAACTTTTAATAAAAGTGTACTATTTTCCTATAGTGACCACAGACTAGGTAAGCAATAGCTTTAAGCTGGGCACACACGGGCCAAAAATCATCTGAAAATGGTCAGTTGGACAGGAACCAGCCGACTTTCCACCCATGTGTACAGCTCGCTTTCATACAGAGCATGCTGGAAAACCAGCATTTTATCAGCACTGGCAGCCAATGGCTGCAAGCGCTGATCAATGTGTTCACACACATTGTGCTGAACACAATAGTTTAGCAGGGGAGATTGCCGCACTAACATCACTTAGTAAGCATGGCAACCACTCATTTTTTTTTCGTTCAGCCCACTGGCTTGAATGAAAAAAACCTTCTACGTGTGTACCCAGGCAAACAATACTGTAGTTGCTAGCTTAAGGTTAACCTGAGTCCCCCTATAATTTTTTGTGTAGATGAGCTCCAAAATATTTTGGTCAGAGCTTGATGTCAAGATACAGAAAACGTAGATAATGACATGATCTTAAGGGATGCTTGCTGGAGTAAGTTTAAAATGTGTTAAAAAGTAACAGTCTGAAATTCCCTTGTGGTTAGTTGAAGTTATAAAGTCTTGAAAACAAATGCTTTGGGCATATCTTAACCCCAAGACATTTGTGAGTAAATGAGAAGAAAGCAGTTCCCCAGCTTTCAATGGATGTTTGTTCCCTTAGACCGAAGAAGAAGCAAACATCCTTCCCCCACCACAAATGATCTTACGGGGTGGTCGTACCTCTGATCCCTTCAGAGGCCACCAGTCTGTCAAATATACGTACACGACCTGACGGGATACTTTTTGTCAAGTCCTTGCAAGATTCAAAAATAAAAATTCTCTCTCTGCAGGCAGCTTTCTTGTCTGTGAACAAAAATTTACCAGCAACAGCAAAGAAATGAGTGTGGACAGTAAGCTTGACCCCTCTGCATCATTATCATCACCAAGTGTCCACAGTCTCTAAAAATAATTTAATAAACATGCAGCATTACACAATAAATACTGAGTTACATTGCAATAATTCAGTTATTAATTCTGCATAATAAACTCTATACACTGGAATAATGTTGTATGCTTTGTAATGAAAAGTTTATACATAATGATAATAAATGTGATGAAATATACACACTGCAAAACTGTGGTATGCTATACAAATACAAAATAAATACATAAAAAAAACACATAAGTAATATTCAACATAAAACACATTTATCAATGCATAAAATGTATTCAAACTGAATGAGAGGCAGATTTCCTTCTTTTCACCAAAAGTACAACAATCAATTAGTAAAATGAATGTGCTTATCACAACCATACATTTTTGGCATTACAGCTTGGGAAAGAAAGCAAAGGCTGTGGACTTGAACTTGCAGGCATTTTCTATCTCCCAAAAGCTTTCTTTAACTTGTCAGATAAAAATTCACACTATCATGGAGAGGTGAATGTCCAGACACCTCAAGGTCAGTAGATAGGGGCACTTTACTGCATTGTAGTCTACAATCTTCATATGGCTATAGCCTCCTTTCAACAAACCTGTATTTTGCCCAAGCAGGTATGTGGAACAATGTAACTCACACCCCTCCAGACCATTTGACAGCACTGGTGCTTGTTGACTGGCTGCTCAGACAGCCAACACTTGCAGGTGAGTGTGAAGAGTCTGGTTTGGGAGAGAATGGAAGGTAAGTATATGTAATTGTATGGGTCCAGTATTGACGTAAAGCTGTTAACCAGCATAGACAAAGCACAGGCTAATGTTAACATTATAGAAATGATAGAAATTGCCCAAGACATCAGCATTAGGATTTTGACTTAGGGTATAATAGTGTTTTGGAAACAAGAAAAATACAATGGATCCCTGTTCTTTGGCATGCAACATTCTGTAGAATGCCATAGCTTGACAAGCCTGGCCACTTGTGCAGGATATGAACCAGGGCACCAAGTTTAATTTGTACTCATTACCTGCAGACTTTAAATCCACAGACCCAATGATTCTCTGAATCTAACATACACACTCCATTACCTACTGTGTCTAAAGCCCCCAACTCTCAGAGCTTCTTATCTGCACTTATCTACACTATTAACTTCTAGAACTCCCTCCACCTTTACCATAAGAACTGCTGTAACTGCTCAAGATGATAATAAAGGAAAGCATATTTGGATAAGGCTATATATATTAACCTCAACCTTTGTTGCTGTTCTCCCTGTATCACAGGTTCTATCACTTCCCTTTATATTCTGCTAACAAATGTAACTGGATGAGTGAAGAAAAGCATATCTACTGTATAAAGGGTGTTATTTATACAGATAATTGTACAGCTAGTGGTAGTTTGGTAACATGCAGCTTGATTTTTCTTTAAACACTTACCATCCACCCTACAGCAGATTTACTGCTACAGGGCATATGTTCTATGCAAAATCACGTATATAAACGTGATTTTGTACATCCACCATAGGGGGCGCCGCTGTGCTGTGATTGGACACAGGAA